ACAATGTTTATTGATATTTTTTGATGACGAGTGTCAGGTTATATAACTAAAGCTCTAGAATTCGTTGAGTTCCATAATTTTCTCCACCAAAACCCTCTTTAGGGATCCCTCTTGTATGTAGAATAAGAGTTTATTTATATATTTTTAGATGTAGCTTCCTGGTCATTTCAAATAAAAATCAAGACACTCCATTAAATTGTCTAAATTTATCCCCCTAATCATTTAATATTCTTTGTACATTATAGCATCTTAATGATATTATAATTTAGAAATATTGGTCTCATTAGATTAATCTCATATAGACACTCATTTTCCTATACATACACAATTTAAAGATCATCTTATCGCTTTCCAATTATATTTCCCATTTTTAATTTAGATATACTTGGTCTCTGATCAAGATGTTTTTGATATTATTGGGTTCATCATCTAGACACTCATTTAAATAATAAATTATTGAAAATAAAATATAAAATAACATTAGAGTTTATTTAAAAAAAACATAATTAAGTGCATTGAGATATGAAAAATTATATCAAAATTTTTATTTTATTAGATGAATTTTTAAATGATATATCAATAGTAACAAAATTAAATTAATTTTCTTATATAAATATATATATAGTTAAGTATCTAAACTATGTTGTCAATCTATTTTTTTTCAAAGCCTAAGATAATTATTGATGATTTATTTTATTAAAATATTATATTCAATTTCATCTCATACATTAAAAGGAATAAAAAAATTATGAACATTATGTTGTTACATTTTTTTTGTAGAAATACAAATATTGCATTAAAATGAAAGAAAAAATAATCTAATACAAATTAGAACCAAATAAAAACTAATGGTTCCTTGATCCAAAAGAAAAAGGACCCTTATTGAAAACATATTTGTTAAAATAAACTTATCATAATTGAAATGAGACCCACTGTTTCCCATTTTAAAACCCTTGAGATACAAGGGATACCAAAAATTAAATAACCTGAAAGGTTGATTAGTATCCCAGAGTTCCCAACCGGTTAAAAAATAGGACCTAGTACTGATCCCATGAGCAATTAGACTAAGTTTAATAAACAAATATAAAGCCAAAGGAAAAAAAAAAAGAAGCTACAAAAGATAACTAGAAAGAAAATATAAGTATTCACCGACAACCATAAAACACCTAATAATACTACCAATAGGCATTTCAGATGCCTCTTCCAACTTTCAAAGCCGTAATTCACATCAAGTATTTTGACATACTCTTTGATTAATAACTCCATCATCAAGTATCTTTCCACTCTATTAATTGTAGAGTAAGAACAAGCAAGCATATTAATGAGTAAAGTATGAAGAACCTCTCTTACAGTTCTTCAATCTGAGATCATCCTTCTTTCTTCTAGGTAGTTCTTCCACTGGTCATAAGGATTGTAGTTCTTTAAATAGTTTATGCTTAGACCCTGAAGAACCACCCTCCTTAGTAGTTGCTGCCTTAGACTCTTTAAGACTAGAATGATATAACATAATATTTAGACTCTTTAAGACAAATGCTTAAAATTAGAAGACATTTAAATTTTTTGTTATATTAAAACTAATCAATTGTGCTATTTTTACTACTTTTATAATGTCTTTTAATCTTAATTATGAATATTTAGTTCATCATTCTAATATAAGTTACTTATATTGTTCCTTTAAAATCTTAGTATAGGTTTCTAATATTTAACTATAGGAGAAATTATTCTATGTGGAGTCTGGACGTAGCTCTACGTCCGAACTCGAATTAAATATCGACACATTAAGTGGACATGTGGATATTCAATTGGATTTATTTTATTTTTTTTTTATGTCTTTTTAGCTTGACATGTGAAGATGTTGAATCTAATTTGAAAGAATTTTTCTTTTATTTTTTAAATAAACAACCAAAGCTATCTAATTTTTTTATCAATATAAATAATAGCATAAATAAAGCTATTAATATATACATCTATATTTAATTCCCAAAATCATATACACTACTCAGGATCTATATAATGATATCATAACTACTCTGTCCAGAGTACAAAAGAACAGTTAAAATAAAAAGTAACAAAACTTGAGGTCAATCTCACACTTCTAATCCTCTGCCCTGACCTAAAAATACTTAACCACATATAATGAGCTAAAAAGCTCAGCAGTTCACCAAACCCTACACCAAAATTCAAAGCACGGTAAAGGAGAAATATGCATGTCAAAGATCAAATTATAGCAATTACATTCATATAATTATCGAATCAGTGCAAAAATATTAAAATTCACATATAATAGTAATACAATTTATAAACAGTAAACACTACGGTACAAAAGCCACTAAAGCAGTAAATTAGAATAAGTGTCAAATTTACAAAGCAATCGTCGTATCTATAATGCAAATCATTATAGAAATTAGATAAAGCATCAAATTAAAATATCAATAAAGACTATTGAAATCAAATCAATATAATCATATATGTATAATATAATTATTCTATACCAATATTAAATCAACATATTAATCACATGCTCAATATATATTGTATATCATATGTAATGAAAGAAATAATACCTCAATAATATTCATTTTAGTAGTCACACTAAACAAGTAAAAATTATTCTCATCACAATATTTTTCAATATTGAATCAGTGTTAGTAAATCGTTGGCTCAGTAAACAGAGTCGTCACTCTTTTCACATCGGCATAATAATCATCTCATTATAACTCTCAGTCAATTTATCACATAAATCAAAAGAAGATAATACCAAACCACTATATTTAATGAAAACACACCAGCCCACCATCCTATACAGGTCTATCAATCTCCGACCAACTGGTCGATCAATCTTTACTTGTCTTTTACACACATATTATTATCAGAGTACTATAACAATAATCTCAATCATATATTTATATTCATTTTTAATGCATTGTAATAAATAAAGCATAAGTGAGCTTAATTTAGAAATTGTCAAAATATCATAACGGTAAATAACAAAAATCATAGTGAGCAAAAATTCACATTTTTAAAATTTAACCAAATTATCAGATATTATATAAAATAATATTCTGAAGCTTTAGTTGAACTAAATCACTATTTTTAGATGTCAAAATAAAATTTTAAGTAGATAAAAATTATTATATTTCAAAATCACCAAGTGAAAAAATATCAAATAAATACTCAAAACATTCATAATCTCAATCTCTATAACATATAAAACATATACGGTGAAAATTTTACCAATATAAAATTATCATCATTTTTTCGGCAATGAAAATACAAATTTGATAAAAAAATATCAAAAAACACAAAATCTTTTAAATCAAAAATAGGGTAATGATTCCTTACAACGAGATGAGTAAATCTTCCAACGGGTCTTGATGGATAAGATGAGGATGAGGATGCAGTAGTTTTCTCTAGATCAACTTTATATTGGATTATATGGTAGATGAGCTTGTATTTAAGAGAATCCACCTTTGCTTCAAGTCGATAAGCCTGGTGCCCAAACTCTCTTCAATTCTATTGAAAATATTTTTTAATGAGGGGTATGGGTGGGAAATTCTTTTGGTGTTGGTGAGGAGATTTGGTGTGGAGATTGAGTGTGAGTTTGTATTTGGTGGTTTTTTTAATGGAAGTTATGTCAGCATTCATATTTTCTGCATCCCCCCAGTAACACCCTAGGGGATATCAAAAATCTGCACAAGAATTATACTAATATTAGCAAATCTCTAATCTTAGGGGGAATTAATTGAAATAAGCTCTATGACAAATATCCATATGTATCTGCCTTTCTTTTAAGGTAGCAAATAAATTGTTAGACTTCTCTGCATAATAAAAAACTTATGTATTGCCTCATCTAAGAAAAAGTGGTCTTAAATCAGGGTACTTATGGGCATTTATTGAGAAGTGCTCCAGAAATCATATCTGCATAAGATCACGTTAATTAATATTAGTTAATGAATTCTAAAATGAAATGCAAATGGGAAAATGAGCTGTGAACTGCTGGGATGAAATGTAAATGGGAAAATGACCTAGCTCCGAGCTTTAGAACTCCTGCAAATTCAAAAAATTTAATCTCTGGGTCGGGTCGGGTTGATAAGACATAGATAAAAAATGAAATCCAACTAAATATCCATTTGTCCACTTCATGTGTCAAAATTTAATTGGAGTTCGGACGTAAAGCTACGGACCGAACTCCGCACAAAATAAATTCTCCAACTAGAGGTCTCATTTCTTTGAGAGATTATTATGTGCAGAGTCAAGACTGGAGAAAGAACTATCCTAATTATATGAGTATGCCCAATAAAAACTCAATTACTGTGCGCGTAACATTTGTTAGGCACGAGAAATTATTCTGTGCGGAATCCGGTTATAGAGCTGTGTTCGGATGCTTATGTGGAAAGTTAAAAGTCAGCGATATTTATTTGACTTGCGTATTGATTGAGTATTTATTGCGTAATTGTTGCGTAAAATGTGTGTATTGATTGAGTATTTTATTGCATATTTGTTGCGTATTTATTGAGTATTTGTTGCATATATGTTGCGCATTTTCTGCTTATTTGTTGCGGATTTCTCTTCGTCTACAGTAAGTCCGAAAAGACAAATGGGTCGGGTAAGAAGTCAAATGAATATCCTAACTTTTCACGTAAGCACGCCACACGTAATAATTTTACTGACATCCGAACACAACTCTATAACCAAATTCTGCACAAAATAATTTCTCCTTGGACACACTCACACGGCAAATTATTGCGTCAGGTGACCGAACGCAAAGATGCGTTCGGTCTCTCTCTGTCTACAGTAACCTGCGCTTTACTGTAGCAGTGCTACAGTAAAACGCTGGTTACAAGAAGTCAAATGAATATCCTAACTTTTCACGTAAGCATGCCACACGTAATAATTTTACTGACATCCGAACATAACTCTATAACCAAATTCTGCACAAAATAATTTCTCCTTGGACACACTCACACAATATGAACAAGCGAATAATCTCTTCGTTTCTTTCATGCTCTCCCTTTTATCTCTCCGCATCTCTCCACATCCTCTCCCACAGTCGAGCAGGCTTACGGATGCCTACCTGTCTCAGCCGCAGCAGCCACTGAGATCGAAATCGAAATCCCACGGCTCAAAAATACGCAAACCCTAGCTTTCTCGATTGATCACCCACCGTTTATCAATAGCTACCAACCTAGCTTGCCATGGCCACCCGCCGAATCCTCTCCACCCTCCTCCGGTCTTCTCCTCGCAGAACTCCAGCTGCAAGGTCTTCCTTTCCCATTCCCAGATCCCATCCCCCAATCTCCCGCCCTTCACCCATCGGTTTCCTACTATCACGGGCTGTCGAGTATGCTACCGCTGCGACAGCCCCTGCCCCGTCTTCGCCATCGTTGGCGAAGGTCTCTGGGGACCCCAGCGGAAAGGTAACTGATGAGTTCACTGGCGCAGGTGCTGTAGGTCGTGTTTGCCAGGTGATCGGAGCCGTCGTTGACGTCCGGTTTGATGAGGGACTGCCACCGATCCTGACGGCGCTCGAAGTGCTTGATAACCCGATCCGTCTCGTCTTGGAGGTAGCACAGCACCTGGGAGAGAACATGGTGAGAACAATCGCAATGGATGGGACTGAGGGACTCGTGCGCGGGCAGAGGGTGCTCAATACGGGCTCTCCGATCACTGTATGATTTATTGTCCCCGCTTGAGATCCTAAGTTATGTTCCAGAGTTAATATATTTTCCATTAGAAAGTCATACATATTCACAATTAAATGCTTGATTATGATTCCAATTACAACTTAGGCTCTGATATAATCCTAGATTTTTTTTCCTTTTCTTATGAAAAATTAAATTCAATTTCGGATTTTGACTTGCTTAATTCTGGGTTTCAATTTTGGTATCATTTCATTCTCAATTTAGCTTTCAAACTCAATTTCTCACTCTTATTCAAATATATGTTTAGAATCTTGAGCATGTTTCAATATAGGTGCAGATTCTGATTCTACAATAGGTGTAGATTTATAATATAATTGTATATCATTTTCCACATTTAATCTATTCTTAAAGAAGATTTTTAAATTTTGATGATATCATATTTCATTGCATTTCAATTGATCAAGTATTTTCCTATTTCAGTTAGATTACATCAAGGATCAGCTTTAGGACCATATCTTTTTGCATTAGTCATGGATGTTCTTAATAGATATTTGCAATAGGATGTGTATGCTTGTTTTTAGAGAGTGAGTTGATAAAAAAACTTGAATTATGGAGGTCAACCTTGAAATCTAAATGTTTTTGTTTGAGTAGATCTAAAATTGAATACTTGGAGTGTAATTTGAGTAGTAATAGATCTATTGGTGGGATTGTAATATTGGTTGATCAAGTCATTAAAAAGAGTCTATTTTTAGATATCTCTGGTCTATTATTTGAAGCAATGGTGAAATAGATGAGAATATTATTAGTAGAATTCAAGTTGGATGGTAAAAGTCGAGGAATGCATTGGGCCTGTTGTAAGATAGAAAAGTACCCTCAAACTTAAAGTAAAATTCTAAATATGGTGTTGGACTTGCAATGCTTTATGGAGCGGAATGTTAGCCATTAAAAAAGAAGCATAAAATTAAGTTAAGTGTTTGCAGATAGGACTGCAAATGAACCGAGCCAATTCGAGTATTTACGTGCTCATGTTTGAGCTTGTTTATTATTAGTTTGTTAAACTTGGTTCGTGCTCGATTCGAGCTTTTTTGTTTGCGTTCAAATTTGGTTCATTTAAAAGAATAGACGTTCATATTTTGGATTGTGTTTAGTTCATGTTCAGTTTATTTATGCTTATCGAACTTTAAACAAATGAGTCTTATTGAGCCTACTAACAAACAATCATTTAGAGCCTGTTTTTAAGTATATATAGTGAGTGTTTTCGATTTACCAAACGAGCTCGTTCATGAATAAATAAGCTCATAAAATGATTCTTCTTGTAAGCAAACTTGTTCATGAACGCTTTAAATAAAAAATGCTACAAACATGAATAAACACTTGTTGTTTATGAAAAAATACATTATATTGAAATAAAACAATATAGAAAATTAATTAATTTATATAATAAGAATAATTTATTATAAAAATTATGTGAAAATATACTAAATAAAGATTTAATCAAGCTTCTTAACGATCTTCTTATCGAGTTTGTTCACGATCTTTAATCAATATTGTTCATGAATATAAACGAGCCGAACACCTAGCTATTCATGTTTGTTTATTTAACAGTCGAGTATTTCAAAAATTATTCAAAGTTATTTGATTAGTTAAACAAACAATCATGAATGAGTTGTAATTGAGATGAGCCATGAGTAGCTTGTACTCTCAGTTCATTTGCAGCCCTAGTGGCATATAAGATTAGAGAGAGTCTACTTAGATGGTTTGTTCACATAAAATGTTGGCCTTCTGATAACTCTGTTAGGAGAGAAGATGTTTTAGATCCAGAGGTAGACCTAGAAAGATTTGGTTTGAAAGTATTAAAAATGATATTTTTTTAATTAGATTTAAATGAGAATTTGACTCTTAATAGAATATCATTGAGAAAAAGGATTCATGTAGCTGACCCCACGTAGTGGGATAAAGACTTAATATTGTTGTTGTTTTGTTGTTTTTGCATCATATTTGACTGCATGGTTCTTGTTTTGATAAATGTTTGACAAACTTTGGAGGAGAATGTAATTTTTTTTTCTTTTAGGACATAATCACAAATGTAATTGTCCTAATAGATGATTGTAATGCTTTTAGCTATCAATTGACTTGTATTAAATCTCATGTAATGTCTTTTGAGTGTTGATTCTTAATCTCTTTCCTGAGGCCTCTTATGATATAGATAATGGTAGTAAATAGTCTAGGGTTAGAATATTTAGAAGCAAGCCTTGTAAACCTTACATCATACTCCTTGAAAGTTGCATTTTGAATTAATTAAAAGAACAAAAAAAGTGCAAGAGAATACAAGCTAGTTTGGAGAGGCCAATATGGGTCCTCCCTTGGCAAATGAAAAAAGTGTTGGGAAGATCAATTCTATTTATATCATTCCATGCATAAGAACAACTGAAAGTATACCAAATTAAAAGCCAAAAAGAAACAAAAGCAAAAAGCCCCTCAGCTGGCAAGGTGAGGTCTCCCATATTATTGTAGTGTGCATCAAAAAAGTAAATTATAAACTACTACAAAGGGGGGATACTAAAAAAAGGGGTGAAACAACTACAAAGGATGGTTTGTATCTCAATGCTCTGACAGAGGCCTAAGTAAATTATGACACCCACTACAATTCACATAACAAGAACTCAACATTGCTCACATGAGAGGACCAAGTTCCCACCAATTAAGTTGTTAGGTGCCTTCTAATCCAAATTAGAGATTTCAAACCTTGCATTGAATTTGGCGAGAATATGGGTGACCACCAATCCAATCCAATAATATCCCCATCGTTGTCCACAATTCACCACTCAAAACTGCATCTCTTGCATCAGAGCACTAAAAGAGGCATATGAAACAATTTGAGGCAACTGTGATCAACTGAAAAGTGCGATCACTTCCTTTTGAGCTCGTTGTGCAAAAGAATATATGGGATGTGTTTGCCTAAAAGCTTGCCAACTAAAGCTCTTTCCAATTTGGGGATGTTCTCTTGAACAAATCCTTATTAAGTCTCATTGAAACCCTATCCTTTGCTAGCACATCGGCCCAATTGATCTCATTAAGTTGTGTGTAACTCAGCTTCTTCCAAGAAAATGACCCATGGGGAACTCCTCCAATGGTGTGTGGACTCACAATGGGGCAAATGGGAAGGTTGTGTGGACCTAAAACTGCATCTCTAGCTATTGAGGCATTTTGACAAACATCATATGTGTCTTCAGTTGTATTCTTATGATCACTAGTGGTTGCTTTTAAGGAAGTTTCACTCCTGCTAGAAATCTCTCTAGAATTATTTAACTCCTTTCTCACATCATCTTCCGATCCATGAATACCATGAAAGGACACAACACCATCCCAACATGGGACATCCAAATCCAATTGACATACCTAGTCGTAGACCTCTTAATGATTGCATTCCTCAATAGTAACATCCATGTTTATTAATTCCTCATGTGAATTGATGTTCTTGAGCTCTTTCAGGCTTCGCACGATGACTTGAGAGGTCGAGTAGGTTGTTTGTATCAATATATCATCACACTTAATGCAAATTTCGATAGCCACTTCAAGAAATTGAAGTCTCTAACTACTTTAACACAACAAGCATGGGTTGTTGAGAATCTCAATTAGCCTTCTCTTGAGGAGGGGAGCGCGAGCCACAAAGTCTCTTAACATAGATGATCTTCCTTGTAGGCTCTGAAAATTTGCGCCCTGGCATTTCCACAGCCCCTTTCTTTCTCCGAGTTATCAAGGAGAGTTTTAACGAGCAAGTTCAGAGACAATTTTCAGAAGAAATATTGGGTTTTAGATAAGACATTACCTAGAGATTTCGCCCTCATTTTGTGAGGACTTTATGATTTGAGTTTAGATTTTTTATAGACACAAGCCCCTATAGTTAATTATCTATCTTGGTAACGAGAGAGAACTTTTGATTAAGGTTAGTCGTCAAACAGATATATAGTATCCGACATAAAATAACATATTTAGGTATTCGAAAATTTAATATTTAAAATTAGAAATTTACCACCTTGTACTTAAAGATGATGGTGGGGAAAATAATAATAGACCCGATCAAGATCATATGGTTTCGTCTTCATGGGTCATCATAATCCTAGATCTACTTAGTCATAGGAGGTAGTCGACCCAACCTGACAAAAAGGATCCTTATCAAAAGCCATGGGTTGCTTCGTTCAAGGGTACTTTGTAGATTTGGGGTGAATGTTTATCTAAGGGGGTAAATTTGAAGCCACCTTAGCTAACAGAAGCCTTTGTGCCTTATCGGTTATATCTTATTAATTAATTACTCAATGATTTAGCGTCGTTGGGACCATATGAGCTCTAGCAATGACGGTGATTTAATGATTTCATTTAGCGGTAAAATAACCCGATTAGAGGGTTATGGTCATAACTGTTTACATGTGATGTCATTTAGCGGTGAAAAAATCGGTTAGAGAATATGTATCACATCCTTACTGGCAAGAGACAGATTGAGAATGAATCTGATAAGAAGTGCTTGTAGATCTCAAGTATTTCCTATCAATAGTCGGAAAACAGCGAGCTTTCTCTACCAAAATCCACACAAAACCACAAAAACAGTAGATAATTTGTATTATTTGATGAAAGGGAAATGGAAAATAGCAAGATACAATTGATCCATACATTCAAATTGCCCGCCCAAAACCCTAAAAATTCCTTCCTAAAATGCTCATTTGGTGCTTGCATTGCAGTCGATTGCCGAAAGAGGCGGACGCTCCACCTCGATTCCGCCTGGGCCAGTCCCACTTGGACCGGCTAGACCAGTCCATTGGACCGGTCTAACAATACTCCCCTCCCAAATATTCACCTTGTTCGCAAGGTGGAAAGACGACACCCGCCATTCCTTCTTCATACAAATGGTAAGAACCTGAAGAGTTCGGTCCTTACACTTATGCCCCGGTGTATACCTCTCGTCACATCTGAAACAGAGCCCCTTCACCCTCTTCTCATGTAATTTTGTTTCTGTGAGCTTCTTGAAGTTG